AGGTGACAAATCTGAGGAACTGTCCTACAATAAGTTGTTGATAGAGGAGGTTTTGGAACAAATTGATAAATTAAACAGTAATATGTCACCAAGACCAGATTGAATTCATCCAAGAGTTCTGAAGGAACTGAGATAAGAAATTGCTGAACTACTGACTGTGGTATGTAACCTATCACTTAAATCAGCCTCTGTAGCTATTCTCCAGTCATCTGGTAATGTAACTCCAATTTTTAAAAAAGGCTCCAAAGGTGATCCTGGCAATTACAGGCCAGTAAGCCTAACTTCAGTACCAGGCAAATTGATTGAAACTATAGTAAATAACAGAATTATCAGATACCCAGATGAATATGATTTGTTGGGGAAGAGACAACAGCTTTTGTAAAGGGAAATCATGACTCACAAATCTATTTAATTTTTTGAAGGGTTCAACAAACATGGACAAGGGTGATCCAGTAGATACAGTGTACTTGGACTTTCAGAAAGCCTTTGACAAGGTCCCTCACCTCTTGAGCAAAGTAAGGGATAAGATCCTCTCATGGGATAAGATCCTCTCATGGATCAGTAACTAGTTAAAAGATGGCGGGAGACGAAGGGTGGGAATAAATGGTCAGTTTTCAGAATGGAGAGGTAAATAGTGGTCTCCCCCAAGGGTCTGTACTGGAACCAGTTCTGTTCAATTTATTCATAAATGATCTGAAAAAAGGGGTAAACAGTGAGGTGGCAAAATTTGCAGAGATACAAAATTGCTCAAGATAGTAAGTCCAAAGCAGACTGCAAAGAGTTACAAAGGGATCTCACAAAACTGGGTGACTGGGCAACAAAATGGCAGATAAAATTCAATGTTGATAAATGCAAAGTAATGCACATTGGAAGACATGATCCCAACTATATATACAAAATGAATGGGTCTACATTAGCTGTTGCCTAGTTTATAGTTCTCTGAAAACATCCACTCACTGTGCAGCAGTAATAAAAAGAATTAACAAAACGTTAGGAATCATTAGAAAAGGGATAGATAATAAGACAGTAAATATCATAATGCCACTATATAACACCATGATACGCCAACACCTTGAATGCTGCCTGAAGTTCTGGTCATCCTGGCTCAAAAAAGATATATTAAAATTGGAAAAGGCACAGAGAAGGGCAACGAAAATAATTAGGGGTATGAAACAGCTTCCATATGAGGAGAGATTAAAAAGCCTGGAGCCATTCAGTTTAGAAACGAGACAACAGAGGGAGGAGAGGGGGATATGGTAGAGGTCTATAAATTCATGAATGGTGTGGAGAAAGCAAATAAGGAAGCATTATTTACCCATTCATATAACACAAGAAATAGGGGGCACTCAAAATTAATAGTCAGCAGGTTTAAAACAAAAGAAAGTACTTCTTCATGCAAGGCACAGTCAGCCTATGGAACTGGTTGCCAGAGGATGCTGTGAAGACCAACATTATAATTGGGTTCAAGAAAGAATTAGATAAGTTCATGGAGGATAGGTCCATCAATGGCGATTGGCCAAGATGGTCAGGGATGCAATCCCATACTCTGGGTGTCCCTAAGCCTCTGACTGCCAGATGCTGGGACTAGAAGACAGGGGGATGGATCACTCAATAATCACCCTGTTCTGTTCATTCCCTTTGAAGCAACCGGCATTGGCTGCTGTCGGAAGACAAGATACTGGGTTAGATGGACCACTGGTGTTCCCCAGCATGACCATTCTTATCATTGATTGATTTAGATCTCATCTCATCTTATCTGATTTATTTGAAAGTGTCATTATTCTCCTAAATAGAAAAAGTAGATCAGTGTCTTCAAGAATGGTCAGACTAATAGTTATCTGTTTTAGTAAATTGCAAAAAATTATCTGATTCACAGTAGGATTAAAAAACAAACAGAAAAGGCCAGTTTGTGGATAGCCTGAACATACATGGGATAGAGGATGACATGCAGGCATAACTGCAGTCCTTGCATTCAGAGAGGCACAAGCACTGCTCAGTGTAATAGTCTGCCGCAAAATTAGCCCTTATAAATTGGGTGGGTGAGGTTCTGTGGCCTGCAATGTGCAGGAGGTCAGACTAGATGATTATGATGGTCCCTTATGACATTAAAGTCTGGTGAGTCTATGACGGAAGAGAAAATATTCAGCTATGATTTTGTCACTTCTCTACCAGCCAGCAGACTTTGCCCCACCTGGATAGGAATGCAAGCTGCACCCTTTCGAAAGGCATAGCAGCAATTTCCCTTCTGCTCCCAAAGACACTGGGCTTGTATAACCCACACACCTCCTGGGTGTGGTGTTCTGTCCCCTCTAGTGGCACCGAGACCATTTAGAGCAGGGGTGGGCAAACTTTTTGGCCTGAGGGCCACATCTGGATATGGAAATTGTATGTCAGGCCATTAATGCTCACAAAATTGGGGGTTAGGGTGTGGGCGGCGGTGCGGGCTCTGGGTTGGGGCCAGAAATGAGGTTCCTGGCCAATGGGAGCTATGGGGGTGGTGCTTGGGGCGGGGGCAGCGTGCAGAGCCCCCTAGCTGCCCCTACACGTAGGAGCCGGAGCGGGGACATGCCGCTGTTTCCAGGAGCTGCACAGAGCCTCAGCATGCACAGAGCAGGGTAAGCGCTGGACCCCACTCCCCGGCGGCAGCTCAAGGGCCGGATTAAATCATCTGAAGGGCTGGATGTGGACCGTAGGCCATAGTTTGCCCACCCCTGATTTAGAGAGAGAGAAAGCAATTAATGAGTCTGCTCTACAGCCTTAGCTAACAGCAAATTGACTTTTAGCTCATTGGTAGAGGCTCATACATGAAGCTCCAGAGGTCCCAGGTTCCATCCCACCCACTGACGACCAGGCTCCGTCAGCGTTACACTTGAATGAGACACAATGCCCCAAAATGCTCCTGCAGAGTTACTGGGCCTGTACACCACTCACTACCAAGGACACTGATTAAAAGCCACCATTTAGCCCAAAATGTCATTACAAAAAAATTCATTTATCTAATAGTCCTTTCCCTTCAGCTGCTGAAATCATTACTTCAAGTTAGCTTTCAGCCATAACTATTGCATGAGTTTGGGAAAGAGGTTAAGGGGGAAAATTAGGTGTTTGTTCTCTTGTTATAACAAAAGGGAGCTCTCTGGAACAAATACATGATGTAGTGTGAAGTGATTTGGTGAATGGGGAGCAAGAGCACCAGTTCAAAGTAGACAGATGTAAAAGGCCTGTAATATCTGCAAGTAACTATCATGTCATGGCTATAGGGTAATTTGGGGTTCCCTACACATATCCCAGTATTTCTGTAATTATTTTATTTACATACCTTTGTAAATAAAATAATTACAGAAATACTGGGCTACGACCAATTACTACCCAGCTACGCTACTTGTTGATTGTTCCCATACCTTACAGCTATGTAAGGTATTTTTTGTAGAACAGGCACGGCTTTCTTTCTTTCTTTTTTTTTTTTAAAGCATCTAACACATCATGGGCACTTATAGAATACAAATAATAGCCAGAAGCTTGCAATGAGAATCCCCTGGGTGGACCCCCTGCATCTGTGCAGTTCTCAGTGCAGGATCAGGGCCAATAATAATCATCCTAACAATGTAGGATGTTCTTGAGTGTGTTGGGAAAAGAATATATTTTTGTAACAAGTTATCTGAAAAATTGGCTTCACTGAAGTAGTGGAACAACAAGAAGCCCTGGGGTGAAAGCTTAGAGAGTACATTTATGTCCGTTACTGGAAGCATTCAAACAAGAACGTGTTTTGCATTCAGTCACAATTTATTTTCTGAATATTCTTTTAAATATTTTGCATTTATTAATGTATGTCCCCACTATCTGCTTTTAACTTCTGCTTGAACAATCTAGCAACAATAATCATAATTGGTGACATCATGGCTCATTACAATGCAGAGATACTGTAATGTCATAAACAAATATTGTAGGCCATCTATATCTCCACTTAAAATGGAAAGCTAACTGCCAAAGGTCTATTGGTAAACACATTAATATATATGAAATATAACTATAATAGCACAATTCAGAAATTAGTACTGAATATGAGGAACCAGCTTTCTTAAGTAAAGGTGAATCACCCAAGTTTTATATTATCTGTTGTAGACATTCCTCAATGAACTTTGGAATATTCCTGGATATTTCTTCTTTCAACATTTGTTTTGTGAGACCTGTTATAAAGGGACTGGTGTAAATGTGGAGATGAAAAGACTAATATTCTACAGTAGACTCTGAGTTCCACCAAAGTCTCTCACTTTTTCGATGTGAGAAATGCAATGTTGCTGCTTCCCTCAGAATATTTGGAGGTCATTCTGCTACAGAAAAGCTAGTGAACCTTGTCAAGTATTCTTGACTTTGTTCAGCAAAATTGTAAATATTAACGGATTCATTTAAAAAAGTATATTTCCCTCTCACTGTGTGGGTCGTTATGTATATAACTATATAGACCAAGATCAGAAGACCTGTTGTGTCCTGTGATTCTTTCTCAGGCAAAACTCCCACTGAAATCAATGGACTATTGAATTCCTCAATAAGGAATACAGGATTTGGCCCTTTCTTTGTATATTTTTTGACATAAAGTATAGAATGGGATTTATCTAGGACTGAAACAATCTCTAGAGAGAATGTATTCTAATCCTTTTTAAATGTGGATTGGGGTGTGTGAGAGAGAGAGATCCTTTTATTACATCTGTACTAATATTCAGACAGGCTTATAGTGCACTAATGAACAGGGCCAATTATTATACAAAATTAAAATTTGCTTTTTCTTTAAAGTTTTATTTTGGTCATTTGTGTGGTGACAATTGTTAGAAAGCGGTGGCCCAATTCTGTGGTCCAGGACATCAGGGTTGTATGCAATGTTGTTGTAGCTGTGTTTGTTCCAGGATATTAGAGAGACAAACCTGAAGAAGAGCTCAGTGTAAGCTCAAAAGCTTGTCTCTCCTACCAACAGAAGTTGGTCCAATAAAGGGTATTACCTCACCCACCTTGTCTCATCTTTTCAGGAGTAGGTCCGGGAGTTGGTCCTGGAGTTAAGTGACCAGATGCTGTCCTAGGGGCTCCATCCAATGGCAATGCACCCATTAATAAAGGCAGGCTAGCATCACTATGATTGTGGGAGAAAGAAAAGAAAGTCACTCTTTTGAGTCCTCCTAACTTGGCTGTAAATAGAAGGTCATGGCAGATTACTAAATGGTAGAACTCATGTTCTTGGTATTTAAAAAATAAATGAAAGCTAATCTTGATATATGTATTTTTTCAGTTAGGTCAAAAAATAATTAAAAGTAATTTTTACAGCTGCGCCTGAGTTGATACTACATTTATCGCTGAATTCCCCTGCAGATTTTTGTGGTTTGTGATCACATTTTCATTTGTTTAAAGAAATGTTTTTCTCTCCCCTGTTGCTGCACAAAACACCATACAAACAATAGGGGGAAATGGTGAAACTGACTACATCCAGTTTACAAAGTAAACAAACTGAAAATAAATACTTTTTTCCTCTAATCTCTTTCAGTTACAGTAATATTAAGGTTTACTTATAACAATAGTAGTTACAACATTTTGGGGTAGAATTGTGATTTTTAAGTTGACTGTGGCCTATTTAAATTTTTTAATGACACAAGCTCTTTTGGACAGGTTTTCAATAATGTTTTTTATTTGTATGAATTAGCTCTCCCCCATTAAAAAATGACTAATTGTGTGAGTGAGTGTATGTGTATTTACAAAGCCAATTTTAATTGAGTGTAATCCTTTGCATAAAATTAAAATAACAAAAAAACATCCTAAGTTGCATCTTCTCTAATATGTAATTAGTGTTTTAATCACTATGCCCATATAGCATCAGAGAGTCTTGTGGCACCTTTAAGACTAACAGATGAATTGGAGCATAAGCTTTCGTGGGTGAAGAAGTGGGCATTCACCCACGAAAGCTTATGCTCCAATATATCTGTTAGTCTTAAAGGTGCCACAGGACTCTCTGTTGCTTTTTACAGATGCAGACTAACACGGCTACCCTCTGATACTATGCCCATATAGTTTATTAAGAATTATTATTATAATAATAATAATTATTATTATTATTTCCTAAACTATGTAATTGATATATTGAAAAGTAGCTTCTCCCCAAGTACGTGTTTCAAATAAATAATATTTAACACTTCCCATATATAGTGCACTACATGTATTAGAATGAATCCTTGCAACAGCCCCATGAGGTAAATAATTACAGTAAATAGTCACCATTTTCCAGATGGGGAAACTACCACAAACACAGGCCAAACAATATGTCAAAGACCACACCCCATGGCCCCAATCCTGCCTAGGTAGAACTCAATTAAGGATCTGGACCTAATTCAGTGGTAGACTGGGAATGAGAACACAGAAGCCCTGGCGACAGGTAAACCATACTGTCACTCACTTTCATAACTAAATTGTGTTACTGTAACTTTGATGCTGATGAAAAATTAGCTTACAAATATTGTATCTCTTCTCTGAACATCGAGATTAGCAAACTAAGATAGCAACTAATCTACATCATCCTGACTATGACATAAGTCTAGGTAAAACTTTCTGTAGATATGCATTTTGTTAGAACGCCAAGCTCAAAGAGCAAATACCTCTGATGACTGTTGTTTGCACCAGTAAATTGATTTACCTTTTTTTTTTTAAAGAGCTGACGCAAGTTTGACAAAGGGAGGTGTTGGGGTATCGTTGTTGCTGATTGGTTCATCCGATACACTCCCATTTGTCTTTAAATGATTGTCCAGCTGCACAAGGTCTCATATGAGCCAACTTTCTATTACAGGTGCAAGTTAAGATATTACTTGCTTAGAAAGCAAGCAAGCAAGCAAGATTACGTGTTTGATTTGGAGGTAAACCTAAAAATGTAACTTTACAATGTCTATTCATTTTATTTTATACTTCTTCCACTTAACACATTTTAAACTGAAGAATTTGAGAAATAACTTTGTGCAAATGTAATTCATTTGTAAATTTAAATGAAGTGTGAAGAACTGGCAGTTAAGATTTGCTATACTGTAGTTGTAATTGGCATTAGCAGGTGTATTTGTTTTTACATCAGGCATGAAATTCAGTCCCCTTTTTTTGGACAGAAAATCAAAATCTAAGAAAGAAATGAAATAGCAGGAGGTTTCTAAAGTTGACCAGATAATTAGGAATGATATGCTTGTGTTCTTTTAGGGCCTCTGGTTAACTACTGAGAATTTTTATCAAGACTCTTGGTTTACCTAGCTAACATCCAAGTAAGTAAATGAATATGAAAATAAATTGTTCATTTTAATTGTGTGTTTACTTTAAGGTAGCAATTATGGTACTTTTCGTCTTCAAATTGCTTTAGAAACAACATTAATTCTTTAAAAGCCTTGCCATTGAGACTAAGAGTCAGGAAAATCTACTGATTCATATACAGTGATAGGACATAAAAATACCAGCCATTGCAAAATACTTGAAAATGCAACTGTTAGGCAGATAAGGCAAGGTCACAGATAAACCTAATTGATAAACCTCCACTTATTCAGAATCCTAGATGCGGCGCAGAAAGTAAATCAAAATTGCTATGAAATAAAATGGAAAAATAAGTTTATGTTTTTCTTAATTGTTTCATTACATATTAAAAAGCAGTTATTTGAACACATTTTCTGAGTACCTTTTACAAAATTATGTTCTATTCTAGCAGATGAACATAACCCTAGGTTTTGAGAGAAATATTGCTTTAGAGGGATAATACTTTTTGCATCCAATATTTTCATTTTAATGTAATATCTTAAAAGAAAAAATCATCCTTTAGTTTCTGTCTGCCTTCTTGTTCCACAAGAAGCAGCAAAAGCCTAGGCATGTTATAGCTGAATTTAAGGAACATAGTTAAGCTAGTAGACTTTTCTGACATGTATACCTAAGGGAAAAAATAGTAGTGGTCTAAAATAGAAAAAGGAGCTGGTGTATAATATTGCCGTTTAGCATAGCATTCGCAGTACTTCCCTTTTTTTATGTTTGGGCCTTTAGAAGTGCTTTGTGGGGAAAAGACATTGTTTCCAAACATTGTAGCTTGTACTAATTAGGGTAGCAATAGCAATACCCAGTGCTGGCTGGCGACTGAGCATGTGAAATCTGTATTACATCTTTGATATATAGGCCAGCTATTGGAAGATTGGAATTTTATGTGAACAGTGTATTTTATGTGAATAGATTCTTTTGAAGGTGAAGTACATCGGAGATTTTGAACATGCAGGATTTTTTTTCACCCTAGATACAAGTTAAAAATAGGTTTGCCTGTAGTTACTTGTCTGCGGTGATCATATTTCAGAAGTTTGCACAATAAATAACTGATTCCACAAAGATTTGGGTAAGATTAACTAACATTTCAGTGCATTCACTGCCTTGCATAAAACATGCCTGGGAAATATTTATAAATTTCTGAAAAAAATTGAGCTTCCAATTATGTGACTAAATAACAGACCCTGATTCTGCAAATACTTATGCAAGTACCAAAGTTTACTTACATGAGTAGTCCCAGTGATTTCAACAACATTTCTCATATGTGTAAAGTTACATATGCATATTTGCAGGACTGGGACCTAAGGATTGGATGTAAAAAGTCTGTAATCTGCAAAATACATGATAGCAAAATCCAAACAAAATATATATACATATTAATTAGGAGTCTTTTTTATTAAATAAAAATGTATACAATTTCAGAAAGGAAAGGTGGGTGAGGTAATATCTTTTATTAGACCAACTTCTGTTGGGGAAAGAGACAAGTTGTTGAGCAACCCAAAACTCTTCTTCAGCTCTGTACAGCTCTAAATCTTGTCTCTTCCATCAACAGAAGCTGCTCCAATAAAAGATATTACCTCACCCCCCTTGTCTCTCTCCTATCCTGGGACCAACACAGCTACAACAGTACTGCAAACTACAATTTAAGATTTCATTAGGTATGAGAAGTGTTCAGAGTAAGGAACACTATCCTGACAGACTGACCGATTACAATTTTTCAAAATAAATCATCATGGAATTGAGGTGCAGCAATGTGCGAGTCTTCAGCTATGCCCTGATCCTGCAAGCCCTTAAGCATGAGAGTAGCTTTGGGCATGTGCATATTCCCATGGAGTCTGGAACTACCCACATACAGGGCTGTCCTTACCCATACGCAAAGTACGCAGCTGCGTAGGGTACCAGGAAATTTGGGGCACCACATTTCCTGGTACTCTGCACAGCTGTGTGCTGCTCCAGCCCCTGCCCAGCCCTGCCCCCACTCCCCTGAGCTCTGCAGCAGGGCCGGGGCGCTGCACTCACCAGCGGCAGGAGTGCAGCAATCTGGCCCCAGCCGCGCCACTGGTGAGTGCTGGGGGGTGGTTCTCCCTGCCCCCCCAAGCCAGCCCCCCCCCCATGGAGGCCTGGGCCCCAAGCACACCCTCCACGGGGGGGGCTGCGTAGGGCCCCAGAATAACTAGGGACGGCCCTGCTCACATGACCAATGTTGCTCATGTGTGTGCAAGGGTTTGCAAGACCGGTGACCTGGAGAGAAGGATTTCAACAAATTAAGATCCCAATTCTCTAAACACTGATGAAGATCAAGGGAACTACTTGTGGTAATAAGCACTACATTCATTAGTAAGTGTTTACAGGATTGGGACCTAAAATTAATGATGATTCAGTACCAAGCGCCTGATCCTGAAAACAGTTCCACACATGAATAATTGTATAGTCCTTTGAGACAAGAAGTAAAATGACTCACTTAAGTAAGTGTTTGAAGGATCAGCCTTTAAAATAGTACCTACACCCTAATACACATTTTTCTGTCATATTCTTTTTTCCTTTCCAAATATAGTACAGACTGTGCAGTACAGAATTTCTCTTACCCTAATCTCTGTGTAAATTAATCCATGGTAATGTTTCTGCTACACTGTTCTCTTTGTTTCTCAACACTAAAAATGTCAATATAGCAGGGCTGATACAATTGGAAGAATATTTCTAAAGCGAGCATTTGTTAGTGTTCACAACAGAGATTTTCTTCATCACTAGCGGGCTGTGTGTTCGATTGCCTGATTTATTTGTCTGATTTTCTTAGATATAGATTTAAAATAAGCATTTGGATACTATATGAATCTGCTTCTTGGAATGCAAAAAAGTTTGGTTTTAGAGATACTGCTATGAATGAGTTTACCATTGTCTCAGCAAGGACCCAGTTCTTTTCATTACTTCAGCTGGAGTTATTCATGTCCTCATTGGGCAAAATCAGACCCTTGGAATGTAAGCCTGCCTAGCTATCTCTGACCCAATGCCAGATTCAGTAATCAGTCTCAGTCTAAATCCTGGAGTGGCAGCAGAAAGGAATAAACAGAGCAGCTATCTCTGGTAGGAAATTGGCAAAAACACCTTGATATTCTTTTGCATTTCAATTATTAGATAAAAAATAAATGTTACTAGAGTAAGGAAATTTATTGTAGTTTTTGACACAAGGTCAGTTTTAGCCTCCAGTGTTGGTGTTTAAAGTTTACATTTACATTTTACACACACACTTTAATGTTGCACTGCTAAAAATAAGTTTGAGACTGCAGATATTAGGAATGGCATATTAATGGCTATATAGACTAGTGAAGGTTTGGTAATTAAGTGAGGAACTAAGCATTCATGAATGCAAAAACTGGAGAATTTTTAATAGGTAATTGAAGGTTTAGGGCTAGAGTAAAGCAAAAATAGAATTTTGCTTGCCCTGGTTTTTTTTATTCTAATTTTTATCCTGCAATGTTTCTAGGCATTTATAGCATTAAGAATACAGTATTTTATTTTCTGGTACACAACTCAGGAAATATATGGTGGATTCTTTTAATGTGTTATACTGGGAGGCACAAAGATAAAAAGTCCTGGGTCCATAGTTCAGTAACCAGCT